AGCCGACGGGAAATGAACGCGAAGGTCCGAGAGACCCGGGAACCGCGGCGGCTTTGGAAATGCCGCCGAGGTTGCCGCGACCCCCGCCAAGGGAAGCCGCGGGCTCGGGGGGCCGACATCCCACCGACGGCCACCGACAGCCCCCTGCCAGGCCGCCCGGATAGCCCTTAAAAAATCGGGGTCTGAAATACTGCTGCATTCAAGCAGGGCTATGAAGAGAGAGACCTCAACTTTGTTTTCGGTCAATTCTCACCGAGGAACACCCGACAGCCAGGCTTACCTTTTATGCTGGTGGTTAGGCTGCACGACTCTCCCAATTTTCCCCATTTTCGCCATGGCCTCCTAGTAAAAGACAAACACAAACTGGAAAAGCCTGTTTTGATTTAAAATACTTTTTGACAAGAACAAGATGTTTCAAAACCAATCGGAACATTACTGATGTATTTTGTTTCGGCTGAACAGGCCAGATGGCTTGAAATATGTTCAATCCCATTATATAGTAGTCATGAGAACAAAGTACTGCAGACCCCTCAGTAAACCAAAATCTGTTCCTCTTTCTTACTGGGAGTCCGAGGCAGAACAGACTTATCTTTTATTATCTACACTTACCGGAGGAAATGTTAAACACTGCATCCCCGGCGGGGAGATTTCGCAAATGAAATGATACTGTACATGAGATTCCATTACCATATTCTTAAAGTATCAACTCCCTGCAGCAAGGGAGGACTCGAGTGTGCTCCAGAAGCTAAAGGTAACTTGCCAAGTTCTGTTACGGAGCCCACAGCTGCTCTCACATTCCAGTATAAAGGTGTAAGGGACACACTTGGATCCTACTCTGCTTTTGGCCAAACCAAAGTCAGACGAAGAGATCTCGCAGAATCCCCTGCAGAAGGAGTCTCTGGGACAGTCACGTGTGGAAGGGACGGGACCGAATGATTTGGTTCCTTCCCTGATGTCTATGAGATGCTGACTTTTTGTGGATTCTCCTGAGCAATCCCACTGGAATGAGACCCTAATCACCGATGTTAATAGAGGATCAAGCACCCAGGCAAGGGTGGAGGAGCAGGCAGGCACCAGCCATTTTCAGTGGAAGTTTTTCACAAGGAGCATTAAAGCAATAGCTTTCAGATGGAACAGTCGTAAACATAGAAGATCAGGATTCAAGAATCAGCGTCTGCCCTAATCTGTACCAGCGTTCATAGTTTCTAAGCAGGACTCTAAATCTGTTCTCATGTTAGTACCTAAAGCACAGCACTGGGAGAGTATCAGAGTGACCCCGGAGAACAGTCAGCCTGTGCTGCTGCCAGAAGCCATCTAGTCAGCTACTACGGCTAGATTTGTAAAAGGGTGGGATGATTTTATAGGCTGTAGTATCTGCTGTAGTAAAATCTTTGCTTTCCACTAATCCAGCATTTTACAGCCGAGGATCTCCTAGAAACTTACAACGTAGATGAGCAACGTAAGCACAGTT